TCACTTGGTAGCCCAGGCTGGCCTCGAACTCACAGAGATCCACCTGGCTCTGCCTCCCGAGTGCTGGGATTAAAGGCGTGCGCCACCACCGCCCGGCCAAGAGCTTATCTTTTAAATACACACACATAGAGTTCTGGTAGTAATGGAGAATTTAATATAAACTAATGTTCTCATAATGTTAGACAACTAACTGAAGAATTTGACCCTTGTAAGAAAAGGATCATTCTGGCTAAGATTTCTATTGTCATGACCACCTACAAAAGCACTACAAAAAGATAGCTAAATTCATGCAAAAACATATTGTTTGGCTTCAGGTGTCAAAGGATCAAGTTTGAAGGTTTCCAGAAAGCCTGGAAATTGAGGAAACAAGAGAAGGGATCCTTCAGATTGTGTGTGAACTGCCCTGAAATCCTTAACTGAGTAGATACTTAGGTAAGAAGAAAAATTCAGAGAGGCTAATGGGGAGCAATAACTGTAAAAGAACAATGTATAGCATGAACAAATTATAGCTCAAGGAGATCAGTTACCAGTACAAATGTTTTAGGGATAGTAATTAAATCTGTTTTCAGTATGCAGTGAAATGTGGACAGCTTGAAACAGCAAACACAGTCAAGAGAGAAAAAGGCAGTGGGGTGTGTCCTAGATAGGCTGTGTGCTTAGAAATAGGCAGATGGTAGGCAAAGATAAACTTGGTAAACAAGAACAAAGAATACATTACTATGCATACAGAAGAGCAACAGTACATTTGACTATTAGCTTTTCCTAGAAAGCAATCAGAACCAAAGACAGTGGAATGTTATCTTTAAAGTACTGAAAAAGAAAAAAAATTAACTTAGAAATAGCCTAGTAAAATTTTTTCATCAAATATGAAAATATCCTTTCAATAAATAAAAAATGGGGATTGATTGTGAGCAGTCCTCATGGTAGGAGATTGTAAAGGAGAGTCTTCCAAGGTGAAGAGAAATAACACTAAATGGAAATGGAGATACATAAGAAAAATGAAGAGCACAGGAAGTGGTTGATATGTGTATAAATGTAGAATGATTAGTTTCAAGAAGTAACTGCTGATTTATAGCATATCTAAATGTGAAATATGTGGCAAGAATGTCATAATAGCAGGGGATAGAGAAAATTAACTTTCATCTTAAGAAGAAAGACAAGAATTAATTTTAAGTAGACTGTGATGAGTTAAGACTAGATAATGTCAAGTATGGTGGTACACATCTTTAACTCCAGCACTCAGGAGGCAGAGGCAATCATATCTCTGTGGGTTCAAGGCCAGCCTGGTCTACATAGTTCCAGGACATCCAGGGCTACATAGTGAGACCCTGTCTCAAGACTACATATTATGACCAAAGCTTAGAAAGAAATGGATATATTAAGTCTGTCCCCTCCTTCCCATTCAGAAAGTAACTAGAGATGTCAAGGGGGAAAGCATCAGAAATTAGAACAGACAGCAAAATGGTGGTTTATACTCAACCATATCAATCATTACAATAAGTATAAGGAAGCTATTTTAATGGAAACTGCCAGACTAGATGTTCTAACAAACAAGATCTTGGGAAATATTTTCTGTAACATATGCATCTTAAATGTAAAAGCACAGATAACTTGAAAGTAATTGGGTAGAGAAAAAGATGATGATGTGAAGATGAGCAATAATCACAGTAGACTTCAGAACAGCTATTCCCAAGTAAATGTAGACATAATCTGGAATGATAAAAAAGGCTTTCACAGGGAAAGGTAATGCCCTAAGTGTGTGCACACCTGTTAACAGCTTGTTAAATGTGTGTTGGGAAAGAGAGTTAAGACAAACAAATCCACAATTATAAATTAAATATTTA